GAAAATTTTCTTCTCTGTCTCTGGGTATGAAGCAGATGAACTACCTATATAGTTATGATGAGCAAGGGCCCTAATCTTGCAGAATTGTGAACCCAAGGCCCCCGGTTCCGGGGTGGGGGGGGGCTCTACTTATATACTGAAAATGAATTAATTGTTTGAAATCTGGTCCTTTGTATTTATAAAACATCTATTTACTTTTTGATAGGCAATTTTAAGGGTGCCTTTTAAAAATTTGTGCAACCTAGGGTCAGGGGTTTATGTCAGAGTGTTAGGGGCACTACTGATTATTGATGAATATTACTGATTAGTTGGAGTGCATTTTGGTTCCCCTACCCTGCATATGGGTATTCAGTAACCAAGCTAAGCAACTGCTAAGTTTATTGTTATAATGATCAATGGTGCCCTTTCAAAATTGTGAATGCCATATAGCATCTGGCTTAAAACATGAATCAAATTCAATACACTGTAACTGGAAAGTTGTTGCATAATGCTCAGGTGACCTATAAGGCCCGTGGGCCTCTTGTTTTTTTAAAGACCAGTACGATTATTCCTGTATTCTGCCCATGACTCCTCTCTGATGGCCTTACTCCTTGCCTTGAAGCTAGATGACAAACATTGGCCGCCATTTGCTTCAGATCTGCTCTTTGAACTCCACCAGTGCAATAACTCTAAAGAATATTATGTCATAGTCAGATATAATGGAGAAGTAAGTAACTTTTGACCCCTTCCTTGGCAAAGATTTTAGGCATTTCTAGACAAATTGATATTAAGATTTCAATGCATTTTTTGGGACATTTCTTGTAATTTTTGTAGATACCAATGTATATATATTCTGAAAGCAGGTATTGTGTAGTTTCTGAAAATGATTATGAAAATATCATTTCAGTCGCCATGGCAACGAAGTACACCATAGTCATGCTGTAATTCCCATTTATTCAATAATGAGTTTCATTCTAGTTTTTTGCTTAGTTAAATATATTAAAAAATATATAATATTGTTGTGTTGAAAATTAATTTGAGCATGTTGTACATTTTTAAAAAAAAAAATTTTTAAGTATTTTAGGGGGATTGGGTGGGGTTGGGACACCAGAATTTAGCATTTTTACATATATTACGTGTTACTACCGCATTGATTTCGATAATGGCAAAATCGCTCAAATAGTGCGCAAAGTTTAACTCAAGCTAGCAAAAAACTGGTACAACCAATAAAAAAATTTTCTGTATATTATTTTATTGTAATTATTTTCTCTTTCCAACGGTGCAAGATTTATTCTGATATTTGCAGTATTAAGGAAGTTATGAATGTTTGTTCACACTATACTCATTTTTCAAGTCAGATGCGTAGAAATGCGTATATGCCATATATTGTAAGGGGTTAAAACTCTACTCAGGTAAAATGCCATAAACTGAGAACAAACTTTTTGTGGAATCATCATTATGATAGTTTGTGGGGGAGGGGGACCAGTGTTTGTTGATTCATGGGTCACCCTTATTCTATTCCTAAGATTTTTTTTCTGTAGATACTATGTACATGTATTGATTTCTTTAATCAACTAAATAAATAACCCCTGAAATTATGTCCCCAAGAACAAGTAAACTGTGCTTGCTTACAAACATTGATACTCAGTTTGGCAAAAGGAATTTTCTCCTTAAATTTAAAGAAAAGTTGTCAAAAATTTGTGAATAAGCGAAGGAGTAAGACAGAAGCACATATATGGATGCATTTCATTGCATAACTGTAATCTAATCAATTTTTTTTCTTTTGGTTGTTTATTATAGTTTTGAACATTATGCATGTATATGGAAAATAATATAATGAAAAAAAACATCCCATGGTAATTTTCATTGAAAATATTGCAATACATATTGCAAAACAGTTTGAAATATCACACTATATTACTATATAAAAACTTTGGCCAATATATACCCAGCCTTAATTATCTAAGAATTTATTTAATACATTTTCTTTACATTGTAGGCAGTAGTACTTCCTAAGCTGAAGAAGAGGTATGTGGAAATTGGGCAAGAGTCTGCAGTGCCACTGAAATACTTCATGAGATATTTAAATGAAGAAAAAGTCATGGAAGCTAGAGAATACAGAAAAGTCTGTGAATCTAACATCTTAGACATCATAGCAGAAGGTGATAAAACTAATTGCACATACACTATATACAATACTCATTTATAGGGAAGTGCTAGGGCAATGTAATTAAAATCAGATGTAAGGTCCGCCTTGTATACTTGCTACACTAACATCTAACAACATCCCATAGAGGGTCACATCAGAGGTCAAATTCGGAACAACTCTAGACTTATTCGCTTCAACAAATATACAATGATTTTGCAGGCAACAATTTGATTGGTTGATAGAATTTGAACTCGGACGTGACCCTCTATGGGATGTTGTTAGATGTTAGTGTAGCGAGTATGCAAGCAGATCTAACATCTAATTTTAAAAATAGGAACACTGATATCACGATTTCACGGATATAGCTAAGTTATCTTGGATCCCCAGCTATATAAATTAAATGAATTTCTTACACGGATATAACGAATTACAGTTATAGAGAAGTAATAGGTCCAAGTGACTTCATTAGGGCCCGCAAGGATTTGCGGGTGCCCTATAGTAATCACTCTGTCTGTCCGTCTGTCTGTCTGTCCGTCTGTCTGTCCGTCTGTCACTCTTCCGTCCACAAATTTTCTGTTTTTTTCTAATAACTTTTTTTATGGTTGCCCAATCAAGTTCAAATTTGGTATGGTAGTTCAGTAGGCAAAAATACATATTTTGATGCTAAGTTTGGTTCTCTATGTCTTCTGGTTTGGAGCTGGGGTGGTGGGGTAGATTCCTTAACTATGCATAAGAATGAATGGGCAACTTTTTTTATGGTTGCCCAATCAAGTTCAAATTTGGTATGGTAGTTCAGTAGGCAGAAATACATATTTTGATGCTAAGTTTGGTTCTCTATGTCCCCTGGTTTGGAGCTGGGGTGGTGGGTACATTCCTTAACTTTATATAAAAATGCATTGGCAAAGAGAGATAACTGCTGAAGATGTTCCCATTGTAAACTGAATGATGCTATGAGTCCCTTGGGATTAATTAGCTTTCCTCCTGAAGAAAATCCAGAGCATTATCTTTACCTGTCACATTTAGATGAATTACCACCTCTGTCTGCAAATGAAGTTTGTTTTGAAGTTAAGTCAATTTGGAATGCTATGAACACTCTGAAATGTGGATTTGAATATAAATTTTCATAATTTATTTTTGTTTAATAGTTATGATTTCATTGAATTCTAAAAACAAGAAATAGATTAAAGAAGATTTTTTGATTTACTTTTGTTACTTATGTTAATTCAAGAATATTATTAATTTTTAAGGTAGTTGTATAAAAACCCCATTCTATCATTAATACTGAAAAAGTTCTTATTGTTACTTTAAAAGAAAATGATGAGAGAGGTACAATTAATCCCTTGGGATTAATTATCTAGCCTGCTGCAGAAAATTTAGTAGGCTTTTCTTTATCTGTCTTTAAGATTAATGAAAACCTTTGTCTGCAACTGCTGTTTGTTTGAAGTTAAGGTCAAGCCTTCATGATATTTGCATTCATTGAACGGCTGGATTTTATATAACACAAGCTTCATAATTGTTTAAATATACATTCAATGTTAAGTCATTTTTTACTGCCTAATGTAAGTACAAGGATATTATTTTCAGGTTTTTGAATGTCCAGGAATTATCTTGAAAGTTTAAGAATACAGTTGCTGTTGCTTATTCTTCGTACATTTTGAATCATTCCGTAAGCTGCACCCTTTTAATTCTACCCCATGGCGGGGCCCTTGCTGACTGGTCAGTTTTCTAGTTATAACCGAATTTAACTGTATACGCCCATGTACTTACTTGTGCTCACATCCACTGATGATTTTGTTCCTATGTTTAGTGAAATTACTCTTATTTGAATCCAAATAATGTTTTCTGATGTTTTCAGTACTTTCTGATTTCACATCAATCTGTGTCCGTCTCTGTCTAGGTTTTAAAAACAAGTTGTTTAGTCTGTGTTTTGACTGAGTCTGCATCATCAACTTGTTTGGGTTTATCTCCAAGTAAGATAAGGACAAATGTATATGGATGATTAAGACTTCCTTGCAATGGCGTGGCAGTTTATTTAGCCTTGTCAGATGTAACAGTTGTTGAAAAAACTGTCACAATTCAATATTTGTCACTTGATCATTTAAACCTATTTAAGGCTCCCCAATGTCCATATTTCAGCACCCCTTTGACCCCTAAACTATTTCAGATATTTTGGCCAACTCATAGAATCATCACTGCACATCATATGTTGAAATTATAATCGCCCTAAATGAAAAGCAAAACTATTAGCTTTGTTTGATTTACAGCAAAATGATAAACACAGTTTGAATTGAAACAATGTCAATTATTAACAAAATTGTCGTTGTCGTAGTCGTAGTCGTTGTCGTCGTAAACTTTTCACATTTTCATCTTCTTCTCAAGAACCACTGGGCCAATTTCAACCAAACTTGGCACAAAGTATCCTTGGGTGAAGGGGATTCAAGTTTGTTCCAATGAAGGGCCACGCCCTTTTCCAAGGGGAGATAATCATGAATTTGTTAAAAATTAATGGCATTTAAAAAAAATCTTCTTCTCCAGAACAGCTGGGCCAGGAAAGATGAAACTCATGTGGAAGCATCCTCAGGTAGTGTGGATTCAAGTTTGTTCAAATCATGACCCCCGGGGCAAGGGTGGGGCCAAAATGGCCAACCCAAGTTTTACATAGGAATATATAGGAAAAATCTTTAAAAATATTCTTCTCAAGAACCACTGGGCCAGGAAAGATGAAACTCAGGTGGAAGCATCCTCAGGTAGAGCAGATTCAAATTTGTTCAAACCATGACCCCGGGGCAAAGGTGGGGGCCAAAATGGCCGACCCAAGTTTTACATAGGAATATATAGGAAAAATCTTTAAAAATCTACTTCTCCAGTACCACTGGGCCAGGAAAGATGAAACTCATGTGGAAGTATCCTCAGGTAGTGTAGATTCAAGTTTGTTCAAATCATGACCCCCGGGGCAAGGGTGGGGCCAAAATGGCCGACCCAAGTTTTACATAGGAATATATAGGAAAAATCTTTAAAAATCTTCTTCTCCAGAACCACTGGGCCAGGAAAGATGAAACTCATGTGGAATCATCCTCAGGTAGAGCAGATTCAAGTTTGTTCAAATCATGACCCCCGGGGCAAAGGTGGGGCCAAAATGGCCGACCCAAGTTTTACATAGGAATATATAGGAAAAATCTTTAAAAATCTTCTTCTCCAGAACCACTGGACCAGGAAAGATGAAACTCATGTGGAATCATCCTCAGGTAGTGTAGATTCAAGTTTGTTCAAATCATGACCCCCGGGGCAAGGGTGGGACCAAAATGGCCGACCCAAGTTTTACATTGGAATATATAGGAAAAATCTTTAAAAATCTTCTTCTCCAGAACCACTGGGCCAGGAAAGATGAAACTCATGTGGAATCATCCTCAGGTAGTGTAGATTCAAGTTTGTTCAAATCATGACCCCTGGGGCTAGGGTGGGGCCAAAATGGCCGACCCAAGTTTTACACAGGGATATATAGGGAAACCTTTTAAAATCTTCTTTTCAAGTACCTCAAAGCTATGATTAGTGATATTTATATGGAATCATCCTCAGGTAGTGTAGATTCTAGTTTGTTCAAATGATGAACGCCTGGAGGGGGGGGGGGGGGGGTGGAGTAAATTCAAGCCTGATGTGCTCAACATGAAGAAAAAATACAAGCTTTGAGAATGCTTTAAATCTGTGTTTATAATCCTAGGGTAATGTTGAGTACAAATCAGGACTTTTACAAAAATATTTATATATCAGTGGTAACTTTTTTTCTGTTTATTTGAAGAGATATTTCTATGAATTCAGTTTTTTTGCTGAACATTAACTTTAAATGTACAGAAGAAGCCTGGAACATTGTCACATAAATTAAAGCAACTTGAAATTGTTTTTTACTGATTTGTCGGGTACTTATGTCAATTTTAAAATAAAAATTAGTAAATGACATTATTCTTTTATATTTACATTTCCAATGTCTTTGTCCGAGATAAAATTACCAATTGTAAATGTACTTTATTTCTCCATCAATGTATTGGCGCGGTTCCAAAAAAACCACGTGCAGGGCGGGACAAACAGCTAGACAGAAGCAGGGTTTGGAGCACGTGGATTGGCGGAATCAAAGCATGTAAATATAAGGAATAATTGTCTTATTTTTCGATTTCATGAAGATGATCAATCGATTGGCTTGCGTGATAATTTTATGCATAAAAGCTTTCGATGTTTCTGCAAATTTTCATGCAAGCCAGTTGATTGATCACATCATAAAATGAAAAATTAGACAGTTATTCCTTAACTATTTCATGCCATATCCTATACTCAACTGATCTACAAAGTCTGTAATCCAACAATGCTGCATATGTTGAGTAGATAAAATACAATCTGCATTATTTGTTGAGGTTTGCTATGAGGGAATGAAAATTGTTCTGACCATTTTGCATCTTCAGTGAAAATCTTTCAGTTCATTCAAATAAACATATTATGCCAACCTTCAACTTTTTATTTCAAACATAAAAGCCAAACAGTTCAAATGCATGAAACATGGATATTGGAGATTCACATATATGGCACGCCGATTGGTTCAAAATTATTTTCTGCACGACCTTAAACAAAAATTACACGAGTAAGTAAAAACTTACACAAAGTGAGGAAAGTATACACAAAGTTATTGAAATTTACACAAACTACAGAAAAACTACACAATCAACAAAATATTTACACGATATAGTGAGAAGATTACACAAACGTAAAAACGAAAACTGCACGAGTGAGAATACAGCATCGACATAATATACGACGCATCCTCATTGCGCACATTTCATTAATATTCATTAGAGAACAGCTCAGGGTGGCTTGGATGCTTGAAACATATACCTATAAATTAGTAACGTGTTAGTAATATTTATTTAATCTTTTTAAAAAGGATTCAGTCTTTTGGAATTCTGCTAGACTCTCAAGAATATGTACAATGTGTTTTATACATGTATAAATTTACACACAATCTTAAGT